TTTATGAAGCAATTCTTTTTATTTTAATGGTATTTAGATTTATTTCATATGCTGTAAGTTCCATAATCAAATCAACCAATTATATTTTTGGTAATAAAAGACAAGTAACCAACCATGATTTTGTTAAAAAAATACAAGTAACCAACCATGAAAATGAAACAAATCAGAATGAAATACAACAAAATACTAATCTGAATATTAATAATAAAAACCAACAAGAAGGTAATGCCACTAATGATAACCAACAAGAAGATAATGTTAATAACGAAAACCAACAAGAAGACAATGCTACTAATGAAAATATACAAAAGGATAATGTTAATAATGATAACCAACAAGAAGTTAATGTTAATAATGAAAATGTACAAGAAGATAATGTTAATAATGAAAATATACAAGAAGTTAATGTTAATAATGAAAATATACAAGAAGATAATACTGCTATTGAAAACCAAAATACTAATATATCATTTTGTGACATAATTGAAACGATTGCAATTTATAGTGGGATTATCATTCTGTTACTAGGAGTATTATTTGGTCTCATTTATTATAATAGTCTTGAAAAGAAACATGGAGTAGTTAGTTTTAGTAATACATTTGGATGTTCTTATTTATGTGGTGGATATATCTTAATGATGTCATTATTTATTTGGAGAGTAATAAGAAAATTGATAAAAAATCCATCTAAGAATTTTTGGTTATGTATTATACCACTTTATCAACCAATGTACGTTTTAGTTCATTAGTCTTTAAAGGACATGAAACTTGTAGAACGGTTATATGTTTTTGTGTTTCATGTATCCATTTTATTGGTCTAATTTTTCATTTCTGTCGTGTCTTTTTCAATCATTATAAATTAGTTACAGAAGAATGGTATTATTTCATTTTATTTATTATTTCATTTATTCCTCTTCTTATTAATGGATATTGCTGTTCAACAAAAGAAGATATAAAAAATGACACAAAACAATCAGATTTAAATGATGAAAAACCATCAGATTTAAATGATGAAAAAAAGAATCAATTTGCTTTCTCTTGTTTTGTTTTTATAGTTATTATTATTATGTTTATTTTTGTGATGAGTTATGCTCTTCTTTCAGTAAATGTTCCATCAAATAACTTAAACAATATAAATAATTTAAATCTAAGTTATAATTATCAATATTCTTCTATCAGTGACAATGAATTAATTACACTTTCTGAAAATGAAACTGATTATAATGTATCAGATATTGAACAATATAATCAAGAAGAAGGAATTAAAAATACTCCTATTAGTAAATCATATTTATGTAGTAAAGATTCGTATGGTATTACAAAAAAAGAATATTCATGTTTAAGTGCACTGGCTTATGCTAAAGATCTAAATGAAAGTGATGATACAAAAAAATATTATAACTATCTTCAAAAGAAGTCATGGAATATTAAATTACATGTAAAAGGAACATTACATTATTTAGTAGGATATAACAAGAAAAATAATGTTAAAGTTATTGCATTTAGAGGAACATATTCATTCAAAGATTGTATTTATGACATTCAATTGTTTACAGAATCTTCAGTTCCGACATTAGCAGCAATAGTACCTTATTTCACAAAACAAACTCTTTCAAAAGTAAGTTATGCATTATCATTTGTTGGTTCAAAATTAACAACACATGAACTTATTGAATTAGCAGAGAATGTAGTAAAAGAAGAAACGATTAACAATTCAGAAATTCCAATTATATTAACTGGACATTCACTTGGTGGTGGAATGGCAAATATTCTTGGAAGTAAGATGGGACTAGTATCATTTGGTGTATCTCCTCCTGGAACATATTTAGGAAGAAAGAGTTTTGAAATGAACCAAAAAGATATTACTAAATATGCACAAGCTATAATACCTGAAAGAGATCTTGTCTCATCACTTGGAATGAGTGGTGGTTCACAAATTCACATTCCTTGTTATGAACATACTTTAGATTGTCATGGTATTGATAATTCAATTTGTGTCATTGGTGCATTATGTCATGATACAGAACTTTCATCATTGTGTCATGAGAAATGGAAAAAATGGAATTTAAGTATTTCTTCATGACAATTTAATTAAATTGATTCATTTTTTTCAAAACAATCCATTGTTTATCAAATTTCTCACTGACAATTTCTTCAAATTATTTATTCTTTTAGTAATTTCAATAGAACTATTCATTTATTGGATTTTTAATGTATATTCATTATGACTGTACTCATTAATTATGAAATTAAGTAAAACATGACTATTAAGCTTATTGTCATTTAATAAATATTTCATTTTAGTTAATAACTTATTTCTATTTAAATTTGATTCTTTTCTATCCAAACAATATAATATTATTTATCATCATTATGATTGAATAATATCATTGTATTGTAAAGAAATATAAATAAGAAATAAATATTTAATGGGATAGACAGTGATGAAATAACAATGAAATGTGTAATAAGAATACTAAAAGAATTAATAACGAAATACACTGAATAAATGAATAAAAAGAGAAATGAAAATGAATAAGAAAACATAAATGAATAAGTGATAATAAAGATAACACAAATAAGAAATATAGAATGTTAATAAAGAAAACAAAGAGAAAACAATCTAATAAGAAGTGAAATAGAAAATTGAAATATGAAGAAATAAAAGTAATTATTAAGTATTAATAGAATTTGTATTTATTATTTGTTGTTTAATGGAGATTAATCTTATCAATGAGTCTTCATATAATTCAACAATATATGTTTGGTTGTTGTAGAAACAATGTTCAATGACATCAACCATGTTTTTAATTACAAGGTTTTTGATTTCTTTTGTGGTATCAATTTCGATTTTTAATTCTTTAATTAATTTAATACTTTCGGATTCGAAGGTAGCACGTCAGAAACACCACACAGATCCCTAAAATATTTCCATCCTTCGATTCCCCCAGTTGTGGACTGGTTATGACGTTGCGTTTGGTTAGAAAAACATTTTACCCAGTACTGCAAGAATAGCAGTGTTTATTATGTACAATGACAGAATATCATTGACAATAAACAAATGGGTATTTATAAAGATGTTATTATTACTTGTTAGAATACAAGTATTATTTGATAATATAAGAAAGATTATCAAAGGAAAAGGGTCAAGTGGATGAGGCTAAAAGAATATTAGCCTAAAGCAATACAGTAGCAATTATATACTCTCCTTAAAATAAGAAAATAAAGAAGAAGAAATTTAAACCCATCGAAATTAAAAAGAAATTTAATAATGAATATCTAAGTAAAGGATGTTTAAAATACTCTATTCCACATCAAAAACGAGAAAAGAAAGTTCTCACCGTTCAACAACTAGAAGCAAAGAATAAGCCAAAAGTTGAAGAACAAATACATTTAAAGCGAAGGGACGGGATAGTTAATCTCCCCTGAGCAAGGAACAACTGAAAATATCTATTAATACTTAATTAACTACTTTTTATTTATATTAATTTAATACTTTCTGCATTTACTATTTAATTTATCGAAATTATTACTACATTTATTTTGATATATTTTATTTTCTCTATTTTAATTAGCATATTCTTATTTCTTTATACTTATTTCTTTTATTCAAATATACTCAATTAATATTATAGTCCTTTATTCTTTTTATCTATTACATACATATTTAATTTATTGGTGATGATATTCTCTTCATTTAATATAAATATATAATGTCAATTCATGGTGATTTACAATTACTTATTTTCATCATAATTATATTTAAATCATCCATTGTGATGATATTATCATAATTTCTGTATCTTTCATTCTAAATTATGATTTGATTTATTTTCATTTATTTAATTTAAATGATGATAGAGTTAATATATTCATTATCAATATCCATGAGTTATTTTTTATATTGATATTTTTTATTATCGGATATACTTTCCATTCTGTGATTGAGTTCATTTTCATTCTGATGTATCTTTTAGTTGTTTATTTTATTTTATGTGACTTTTTAATATTATTAATGTATTCTTTCTCATTATTTACATTAATGTTTATCATTTTTATTATATTTTCTATTTGTTCCCATCTTATTTTCTTATATAACAAATTAATTCAAATCAATACAACATGTCAATTAAAATTATATTTGTTTGATTTATTGTGTTTTCTTCTCTTCTTGACTGATTATCATTTCTTGTTTTTTTGATATTCAGTGTTTTGTTTTTATTTATTTCTTATGTTCTTCTTTAACATATCATCATTATTCTTCAACTCCTTATGATTAGTTCTGAGTGTTCTGATGATTTCATCATTGTTTCCTACTTCAGTGTTATTTCTATATTCTATTTCATTTATTTTTCCTTGTAATGAAATATTTATTATTTTAATTTAGAGTTTTCTTTTCTTATTTCATTATATGTTGTTTGAATATTGTTTATTTGGGTTTTAATCTTTTCTATTTCTTCTTCAAACTCTTTTCTAATTCTATCTCATGTTTTTTGAATTATTTCATTTGAAATGGTTTGTTCTTCTTCTTTCTTTTTTTGTTTGAAATTATTTAATAATTTCTTCTATTTCTTTGATTTGATTTTGAATTTGTTGATTTATTATTTGTTATATTCTTCCATTTTCTCTTCTTTCTTTTGTGTTTTCCCTTTATTTTCTTTTTCATTTATTATTATTGTAGTTTTACATCTATCGTTCATTTCTTTTATTTCATTTCTTTGTTTTTGATTTATTTTTCATTTCTTTTAATATCTTCACTTATCCAATCTTTTGTTTTATCTTTGAACTCTTCTTTGTTTTTCTTTATTATTTTATTATTATTGAATATACTTCTTGGAGAATATTATACATTTTCTTTATCTTCTTATTTTTTATTTATTTCTGATTATTCTCTTTTCTCATTTTCACTTCTTGTTCTTTTATTTTTCTTTTGAATTTTATTTATTGTTAATAATTTAGGTTTCTTATTTGTATAATGTTTATTATCATTATATTTACATAGTTTCTTATTTGTTTTTATTTGTATTCTTCTTTTTTCTATTCACTCTTGTTATTTCTTTTATCATTATTATTATACATTTTATTGTTATTTCATTCATTCTTTTCTTTGAACTTGAATATCTGTTTATTGTTTGATTTTCATTACAAGACTCTATTATATTACTCAATAAGCATGACAACAAAATATGATATATATTCTGTATTGATAAAATGAACAAAATGAACAAAATAAAAAGAAAAATAAGATAAATAAGATAAGAAATAATAAACAAAAGAAAATAAAGATATAAAATAAAAGATATAAAGAAATAGAATAAAAAAGAAAGAAAGAATAAGAATATAAAAATAAAATAAAAATAAATAAAAAATAAAAAAGAATTATACAACAAATATAAAGAGTGATATATCAATCAATAAATAAGAAAAGAATAATATCAAAATGAATAAATAAGAAAAGAATAATAATAATATAAATGATAATCAATTATAATTTATTTCTACGTTAAATTATATTGTATTTCATTTATTGTATTTTTATTTCATTTACCACCCTCTATCAAAGCATTCTCTTGGTATTCTTTTATTCATCTTTAATATTTCTTCACATCCACATTTATAAAAACATCCACGTCCAAATAAAGTAATTGATGATGGAATATTAATTAATGTTAATGATGTACAATATTTAAAACATTCATTTCCTAATTTATTAATTGAAGATGGTATATTAATTGATGTTAGTGATGTACATCCATAAAAACATTCATCTCCTATTTTAATAATTGGTGATGGTATATTAATTGATATTAATGATGAACATTCATAAAAACAATAATTTCCTAATTCATTAATTGATGATGGTATATTAATTGATGTTAATGATGAACATCTACAAAAACATTTATTTCCTAATTCATTAATTGAAGATGGTATATTAATTGATATTAATTCATAACAATTATAAAAACACCAATCTCCTAATTCATTAATTGAAGATGGTATATTAATTGATTTTAATGATGAACAATTACTAAAACACCAATCATCTAATTTAGTAATTGAAGATGGAATAATAAATTCATTAATATCTTTCTTGAAAATATTCTTTCCATTGATTATTTGTATATTATCTGGTATTTCAATACTAATTAACACTGGTTCATTCATAAATATTCTTTTTTTACTAATAAATTGTAGATTATCTATATTAATTGATGTTAATGATGAACATCCATCAAAACAATCATTTCCTAATTCATTAATTGATGATGGTATATTAATTGATGTTAATGATGAACATCCATCAAAACAATAATTTTCTAATTTACTAACAGATGATGGTATATTAATTGATTTTAATGATGAACATTCATAAAAACAACCATTTCCTAATTTAGTAATTGATGATGGAATATTAATTGATGTTAATGATGTACAATAACTAAAACAATCATTTCCTATTTTAATAATTGAAGATGGTATATTAATTGATTTGAATGATGTACATCCATAAAAAAA